TCTTTTTGTGGCGGCGTTATCGTTTAGCAGGTCTAACGATATTCGTCAATCTGTTGAACACGGATTGCCTAGGCGTAGGTGAACAACAGCTGCATTCGGAGAGGACGGCGGAAATAAGCCGCTCACATTGGCACGAATGAGCCACTTGCTGTGTTGGCCTCCCTCTCGACAGCAGCTCACGCAGATCAGAAACTTGTGAAGAATTTCGTGATGGTGGAGATGAAACCCCCTGCCCTTGGGTGGGTTGGACATGAACCTTAAATCCATGCCGACTCTGTTGAACTCGACGGACCATGTCGTGTTCTTGAGGAGTAACGCGATGGTCGCGTCTAGGTTTATAAACACGAGGTGGAGGCCTGTGTTTAACTGAAGAAACAGACCTCTGTGGGTCTTGTTCTGATTGAACGCACACTTGTGGCGTGCGTTTTGATGATGAAGCAGACCCCTGAGGGTCATATTTTGGTTGAACGCACATCTGAGGTGTGTGTTTGGGTGACTGAACAGACCCCTGCGGGTCTTGTTTTGATCGAACGCCTACTTGTGGTATGCGTTCAGATGTGGAAACAGACCCTTGTGGGTCTTGTTTTGATTGAACGCACACTTGTGGTGTGTGTTCAGATGTTGAAACAGACCCCTGTGGGTCTTGTTTTGATTGAACGCACACTTGTGGTGTGCGTTTAGATGTTTGAACGTGCCTTTGAAGGTCACGCTTTGATTCTGAGACGCACCTCTGAGGTGTGCGTCTAGATTGAACAACGCGCCACTGAAGGTCGCGTTTAAGTTGGATTACCCGAGGTTCGTAATCGGGTTCATTGCCATGAAGTGTGCATTCTGGAGCCGAAACGCACAGTTTGGGCAAAGGCTCAGAAACCCAATCTTCGCGCTGGGTGGTAGCTCGGTTATTCCGCAAGTATGCTCGCCGTATGGATCTTCTCCTTCGTCGAGCGACGTTTTTCTTAGCTTGTTTCAACGCCTTGGCTGCAACGTCATCGGCGTTGGTTGGATTTTCATCTATCATAGGCCTCTTACAATCTATTACACGCCGTGTTGATACGGGTGTAGAGTCTTCAACTCGCAAAGTAAGTTTAAGGCCTTGGCCAAAGGAGAGGGCTTTCTTTGGCATCTCAACAGTAGTTAAGACCTCCTTAGAGATCTTGCAGGTATTGCGCCTAGCTTTAGGGCTAAGCGATCCAGAGGAGAGGGCCTCCTCGTACTTGGCTTGGTCGAACTCTACGACAAGAGTTTCGACAGTGGTTCCCGTAAGGTGAACGTCAGATTGCGCCACCACTTCGTCGTCAGAGAAGCTAGTCCCCAGCAGAGTCGCCATCTTTTGTTTGTGGAAAATTTGATGTAAAAAGACAGTGAAAGAAAAATTGACTTGTATTCTCTCAAAATCGATTACAATTTGAATTCCGATTACAAAAGAGAGGAGAATGAATTTGATTCTCCCCTTTGTTTAAAACTGGGTTCTTCTTGTAGCGATGAAGTGCCTCCTTCGATTGCTTGCATCGAATTCGCTCTCCGTTGACGATCTGACCATCTTATCTCACGGGAACAGTTGACTTGTAGGATGAATTCGGTTTAGAACCCTTAACCAGTTTAATAAACTCAGGACGAGTTGAAAACTCTGAAAAGAGTTGTTGAAAACCGAATAATCGATAATAAACTTGTGCGGCAAGTTTAATTAAAGACTCTTAACGAGTTTACTAACTCAGAGCGAGTTGAAACTCTGTAACCGAGTTGTTAGGACCGAAGATTCGGTTAATAGCCAAGTAGATCCGCTGTTGGTGAAGGGATTCTCTAAGATTTGATTAACTGATTGCTAATCAGTTCCTTGATCTTTAAGAAAATCGCCTTCTCTGTGCGGTTAAGCTGTTGAGATCGAACAATTCCCCACCCTGTGCGGTTTTGCTGCTAAAAACTGATCAACCCCTTACTCAGTTGAGTAAGTTGGTTATTTATAGGGGGATTAGGGGTGTAACCAACCCCTAAATCCGCTCCTGCGTTTTGTGTTTTAACTCTGCGTTGTAGAGTTGGACGTCTGTTGGAGAATGCACAGTTCGTCTGCGTTTTGAATTTGGGAAACGCAGAGGTGAACCCTGCGTTTGGGAGAGGTTGTTGGTTTGTAACCTCGTCCGTTGTAACATCGCAAAGGCTATTGCTCATTGATCTTTGCTTGTTACGGGATGTGAAAGTCGTCAAATTGCAACCTTCACTGTAGATTGTGAAGACTGCTGAACAGAGTTTTCATCAGTTGTCGGAAGCTTCGTTGAATTATAAGTCTTCTCGCTCTATGTGAAAAGTCCTCCATTTGCAGCTTTCGTTTGTTGGCATGAAAGCTATCTGATTGTAGCTTTCATTGTTGGAACTTGATGGGTCAATTGTCCATTGTGATTTTTAGACGAATATTTGCCCACAGCTCTCTACCAAGCAACTCACCAACTGAGTCCAACCTTTTATTTCTGAAATCATTACACTGCTCATCAGCATCTGTAATAGTTGCTAATATAATATTAGTCATGTTGTTGTCGCAGCCATCAAGATCAATCATCTCAAACATAAGGCCGTATTTGTAGCGATTGTAGAGTTGTGGATGCAGTGATTAGGAAGTCGCCTGATTGTAACTTCCATTGTTGGAGCTTGATGGGGGTCAACTATCTATTGTGATTTTTAGACAGCCTACAGTTGTGGTCTAGATAATGCATCTTGTAGGATCCTATAGTCGTTTATAGAGCCTTCCTACTCGGCTAAAACGTATGTGAATAATTTATTTGGGGTACAAGCAGCTAGAATATTTTGTGTGACTCCTTTGCGACCACGAAAACATGGAACAAGTATATACGGAAGCATAGCATCAATATGGGTCCCATCGATCATACCAATACAATCCTAGAGAGTATATCATCAAATAAATATGTAAGCATTTTGAATATAGAATTAAATAAATATATACTTATTCACAAACTATAAATGATGTACCTTAAAATAAGGGTATTATCGATGGTTGTTAAGGATCTCCTTCGGTACTTCATTTGGCACTTGTCTTATATACCGTCCACGTATGTGATAAATTGATTCAAGCACTTTGTTGAAATATCTACTTACGGTCTCCCCCGATCTAATAAAACGCGACCTTATGATGCGATTTTTGGTTTTATGACCTAAAATATTCAACGTCATGGTAAGTTGTTCTTCTACCGTAACATGCCTTGAATCTTTTAAAAGTTGATTTGACCTCATAATCCTAGCAAGATTGTTAAAAGCCCCACTCCGCATTCTGACATAGGTTTGACAACTATCTATATATCCATGCACTATGTTCTGCATGTGCTCAAACCTCCTTTTTTTTAATTAATTTTCGATAGTTGGACCGCTACATATTCTTCTACGCCTGGCTTGCACCCTACGCATGAATGTAACTAAGATCTATATGATAGATAGTGTAGCCACAGAGACAATGCTCACTATCATTTCTTCATCAACACATCCACCATCCATCTACAATACTCACATTAAATCAATTAAGAGTTTGAATAAATAATAAAATAGTTATCATACGACAAGAGTAATAAAGCACACAACTACCCACAACTCATCAAAACGACAAAATGTTCTTAATTTATATAATTCATATGCATGCATATGCATACATATATATGTATACACATGCATATGCATATGTATATAGACATGTATATTAACACAATAATATATTAACCAAGACTAATTGCAATACAATGTGCTAGGTTTAAAATATAAAGGTAAAACACAATTTTTTCCTGAAAGATGTGTTTTGAACAACATAAATAACTGCTAATGGTGGGTTACCACATAACAGTCATAAATATTCTGTACATTGTTTTATATACATAAAATTTGAAGAGATGTTAAATTCTACACACAAATGACTATAAAAAAAAATTTATACACAAATAATATGACAACACAAATAATATGACAACGTTTAAAATTTCAAGAACTAGTCACTATTAGCAACAATTTACATAAGGAAATTCACACATACTTGAGAAAGTAATATTGCTCAATTCTAATACATTTAAAAGCAATAATTTTTACATGAATTACAGAATAATAAAAATTTAGTAAACAAAATAATGCATGATCAAGTCAGTTGGTCCACTCTAGGAATTTAAAACAGAAGAAGTTTTTCATTGCATACAACTATTGTGGAGATTAAAAAGAAGTAGCTTTTGCATGTGAATGTAAAAACTTACTATTAAAAAAAACAAAGAAAGAAAAAGGGAAAACAAAATTATTAAGAAAATTACCTTCAGTTTTCAAAGAAGCACGGTGAGGTTTTCCAGATGGATTAGCCCTAAAGCAGTTAGATCTTAGAGTGATTAAACAATCAACGTAGCAAAGCAACGAATTGACCTCTAAAATAACCCAAATAGAAGATCGCTGAACCAATAACCCTGATTTGAAGATGTTTTGCCGATAAAATAGCCAATTATTTAGCCCTAACAAAGCTTGAGTTTCTATTGAAGTAGCAAGAGAAGATTGGCAGTGGAAGAGGGATCGATATCAGGTAGGATCGATGGAGGTTTCACTTCTCAATATTTTCCATAATTTTTTTTGGCCGGAGAAAGGCGGTGGAAGGATTGAAGCAGAGAGACCGAAAACGGAAAAGAAGAAGAAGAGGAAAGGAGAAAGAGATAAAGGCGGTGATAATAACAATGAGCTTTTTCCCTGCTATTTCCCAGATCGTTCTCGCGGTCTAGCTGGCAGAAGATATTAATAATTTACTTCATCTCTGTCCCATTTCCGAGCTTAAACTTCAGAAATAGGGGTTTCTGTTTTTCTGAGGTGACGGTTGATTTCTATTAAAGTTTTCTTTAAATTTGAGGTTGAACCAAACAGTAGATTAGAAAAATTGTGAAGGGTTTTAAATTTCTTACAGTGACTGTGTAGAGCACGAAACCTATTTATGCGGATTCGAGTATCTATATAAAGATGGTATGAATGAAATTGAAAAATGACCAAAATATAACCGCAACTTTCGGATAATGATGAAGTGACCGCTCTCTCTCTCTCTCTCTCATGGAGCTGGGTCTGGCTGTTCACCTCTCTGCACCTCTCCCTTCTTCATCTCGAGAAACCCTAACCGCCATCTCACCTCCCTCTTCATCCCGCTTCCTCTCCTTCTCCTCTTCTCGCTCCTCCAGGTTCCAGTTTCGCCCTTCTCTCTCGCAATCCAGGGCCAGAGTCCTTGCCAATGCCAGAAACCCAGTAGAACAAGAGGAAGAAGATGAGGAAGAGGAGGATGAAGATTTTGCCTCTTCTTCATCTTCGTTCCTCTCTCTCAATGAGAAGCCGGACAGGAGCCTGGCCTTGCTTGATGAGTACGAGATGGAGGAGCTCGACTCCCAGAGTTATACTGACCCAAATCATCGAAGTGGTTTGTATTTCTTTTCATTTTCATCCTTTCTAAAGATTTTAGATAAGACCCATGTGGAGTAATTCATGTATGCGATAATTAACAGAGGATAATTTAGGATTTGGCAAATCTAAGCCCAATTGCGGACGATTGTTGTTTATCACGTTTAGGTTTCTTTTGATTTGCTTGTAAAAGGGCAGGCGGTTCTCTTTATTATTGCTGAAATGAAAAAAAAAAAAGAAAAATAAAATTGAGTAACTTGGTGAGCTGGGTGGTTGATATAATTTGTAGAATCAGGTCTAGCTTCCTCTGCGACTATGACTAAGTGGATGTAGGATGGTGTAATTGTTATCCTGAGCTTTAAGATGTTGATTCATTTGGCTAGATTATAAACAGCAGGATTGGGAGTACTAACTTAGTAACTTTAGAGGATCGATAAGGATTATGATGTCTCCTACTGTAAAGGGTTTGTTAAGTGTAAGCATAGCTCGAAAATACGTATGATGGTTGATTGGTGTAGTGTGTATATTGTTTTTCTGCCCACATTGTTTGAAATTCCATGAGATACTGAGGCCTTTGTGTGTTCTTAGACAAAAGGGAGGGCTGAAAGAAGAAATGGGTTCCGAAGTTTTTGTAAGCAGTTCATGATGGATGATGGTTGACTTGATCTTTTAGTTGTTGAATACTATGTAATGACAGATTAGATTGTAGGAATTGGAAGTAGGCTAATAGTGGACAACTTTCATCCATTATGATCTTTCTAGAGCCTCAACTCTTATTATTTTCATTTTAGTCTCAACTCAAGTCAGATGGTGCCATTGTCGTTTGGTGTTTGATTTCCTTAGCAATTAACTTATTTTGTTCCTTGTCTGAATTGCAATGTAATATTTTTAAAAAAAATGGTTGCTGATAATTCAAATGCCCAACAATGTGATTTCTCGTGTGAATTTTATTAAAATTATAGTTGCCTAGGAAGCCATTATCATCAAGAAGGTTGCTAAATATTGCACTTCAAAACAGAATGATATCTGTTATCATAAGATTAATATTTGACTTCAATTTTCTTCAGCAGATTGTAGTTGCACAACTTCCATTGATCACATTCTGGTTGATCCAATATTCCTTTTTTTCCTTCTTACCCATACCATTGTAAATCTATTAGTACAATGAGAATCATATTTTATTTTGTTTCTACTCAGTTATGTATTACCACCACAAAATCACGTCATGAACACACATTAAACTGATAGGCCATATTAAAAAACATTTCAGTAAGATTTTATATTCTGCAGTGCCTTCTTACTCTTACATTGATAGTTTGTCTCCTTCCAAGCCTGTTTGAATAAAATTGAGGTTGTGTGAAATACAATGCAAGGTTGGGAAGCTTGTAATTGATGAAGATAAAATTGAGGTTATCTTTGAAGGGTTTTTTTTCATGTAAACTACCTTTAAAATAGGGTGATTATACGAAAACGCCTTCAAATTTCAATTCATACAGAAGCCACCTTTAAAGGGGGCTTTGATTGCCATCAACCAACTTGACTTATTTTTAATGAAACTTTGACTACAATTCCCAAAATACCCTTAAAAATGCACATGACAAGGACATGACATGCTTACTGAACCAACCTAGTAGCTTGACATGTGTGTTCTTTCCAGGGTATTTTGGAAGTTTAATTAATATTTCATTAAAAATATGTCAAGGTAGGTGGTTGATTGCAAGCAGAGCCCTGTTTAAAGGTGGCTTCTCTATAAATTGAACTTTGAATTGGTTTTTGTACGATCACCCTAAGGTGGTTTCTATGAAAAAGACCCTATCTTTGAAATGCTATTGGCCCTTTAAGTATGAGCAGGAGAGCAGCTTGTCACAGAACCTAGAAGACCTGTTGGCATATAGATAACCTAATATAGTCCAAACAATTTAAGCTCATACATAGTTGGAAATAGCATGGAATATTATGAGTACATCATAAAAATTGCACTATTCACCCCCACCCCCTTCCCCTCAAACAAAAAAAAAAGAATAAAGAAAAAAAGAAAAAAGAACACACATTCACACGACATCTTCAACCAATTTCAAATTTCCTCCTTGAGACTTGGGAGCTTTACGATTTATTATATTTGACTTAGTTGAGCCAGAAAATGCAGGATATGTTGCTGTTTTGGGCAAGCCTAATGTTGGAAAGAGCACTCTTTCAAACCAAATGATAGGTCAAAAGCTCTCAATTGTTACCGACAAGCCTCAGACTACACGCCATCGGATCCTTGGCATATGTTCAGAGCCTGAGTATCAGGTATTATGTGTTCTTAGTTAAATTGACTGTTTGAAATCACGGTATCTTAAAATCAATAGTAAAAACCAGTGAGAACTTGATTTTTAAGTTGCGATGTTGTAATTATAATATCTGAGTTATGGGTTAGTGTGCAGATAATACTATTTGACACGCCTGGTATCATTGAAAAGAAAATGCACAAACTGGACTCTATGATGATGAAAAATGTTCGAAGTGCTGGTATTAATGCAGATTGTGTACTTGTTGTCGTTGATGCTTCTAAGATGCCTCAAAAGGTATTCTCGCAATTATGAACTATTTATTAAATTTATCGCGTGCCCTGCTGAGTGCTGACAAATTCAATTTAGATTGATGAGGTTCTTGAAGAAGGTGTGGGAGATCTCAAGGACAAGGTTCCTGTTCTATTAGTGTTGAACAAGAAGGATCTAATTAAGCCAGGGGAAATTGCTAAGCGCCTAGAGGTAGAAACTCTATAAGATTGTATTGCTTGTATGGAAATTTCTTGATGGCAAGTTCATACCTCTGATGTTAGTTCTCTTTTTGATATTGCTTCTTCAGTTGTATAATTTTGATCTGAATATGGTGAAAATACCGATGAGGGAAGTGACTTTATGTATTACTTTTGTTCGTATGCATCTTTAATGTGTAATAGGTTTCTGCTCATCGCAGTGGTATGAGAAATTCACAGAAGTTGATGAGGTCATACCTGTAAGTGCCAAGTATGGTCAAGGAGTGGATGATGTCAAAGATTGGATTTTATCGAAACTTCCCTTTGGACCTGCTTATTACCCTAAGGTATGTGGAGTTCTATGGTGAAATACTTTAAACAGACACCTATTGAACTCTTATTTGTAGATTTCCTTGGCCTGATTGATACTTTTTTCATGAGTAAGAGTAGTGTGCTTTTGAGGGGAATAACACCAGTCATTATCACCATACACTTGCACCAACAACATTAAAAATTTAAATTTCTTTGCATTATTTATGGGACAAATTAGTTGGCATGTTTAGTATGGGTGCATTCAATATCTGTTGGTACAGTGTTATTTTATAAGACAAAATATGTGAAAGGTGATCTACCAGTAAAAATAAAACCAGTAAAAATAAACAATGTTATAGTTCATGTTGATAGCAAATAAATACATAGAGGAAACCCCACTGTTATAGTTAAGATTGAAGTGAATTTTATCCGTAGAGATAAGAGTATAGTCACACTTAAAGGGATTTTTATGAGACAGCTACACATAGCTGGTGTGTAACTGTTGCCATAGAATGTACTCCAATTTTGAGTTTATTCTACATTCATATTATACTCTTAACAGCATTTCTCCAATTTAACCATTATACTTTTGGAAAATAGAATATTAAGATGGACGAGTAACTAGTAATTAAGTGTAAGACATAGGTTCGAATCCCTCCTCACCCACAAGTGGCCCAAAAGGGAAGGACCTTTCCCTCTGGGATGCATTATGCTGCACTTGGCGTGTGGGGTATACAAATACGACTTAATGAGGGTATCTGGATATGACAACGCTTAGGAATTCAGGATAAGGTTACATTGTGGATAGAACGATAATAAAGTTATTTATGTGTATGTAGTGAATGATCTATCTATAATGACCTTTCTGATTATAATGATTAAATAAACAAAATAACTCAGATATTGTAATATATTTTAAGTTATATACATTAGTACTTGCCTGAGTAATCATAATTTTATATTTGGAAGGTGGACACCTAGTTATAAATGCGTCTATCAATCAAATGAAATTGGTAGATCATCATTCATGTGTTAGAATTTTTTACTTTCTAACCTTTGTTACATTTTTTTAAATGTAATGAACTCTTGGATGTATTAATTATACCTTTTCTGGAGTATATCCTTTAGGTATCACTTTCTTTTTGTATCTACGATTTATTGTATACCTACTGTCTCTTCACTAATATCAATTCTTTAGTTGACCGTATATCTAAATTTACATAATGATATTGACAGAAGTAGAGGACAGTTTTTACCTATTTATGTGTAGTACATGGTTCTGAAATATTGATGACTGATAGATATTCCTGGCATTACAATTCCAAACTTACATATTTGCAGTTTTCCATTAATGGAGACAACTTAGGAACAATATTCTTATTTTAGTTTATGGTGCTTTATGATATCATATCAGATCTTGGACAGTGATGTGTGAGAACAAATGCTCTCCCATTTATGAGATATTGTGCTATTCTATATTATCTGATACTAATTTGTATATTCCATTGCTCACTTTTCCTATTGCTGACTTTTCCTTATCTTTTATCTATATGATCCCTTGTTAGATTTTGTGGATGTCTGAGGTTCAAGCCCTGTTAGGATTAATGATACGAGATATTTTCTTGTGGTTAAGTTTTAAGCTTTTTTGAATAAGGATCTTGATGTTACCTAGAAAGTGTCCATTTCTGACTAGCATCACATCACGCGACTTTTTCTGTTTCAGGACATAACTAGTGAACATCCAGAAAGATTCTTTGTAGCTGAAATTGTAAGGGAGAAAATCTTTATGCAATACAGGAAAGAAATCCCCTATGTATGCCAGGTACTTACAAGTTAAATTTGAGGAATTATGGCATCAGCTGAATAGTACAAATTGCATATGATCATATGTTTCTCCATCGAACAGGTCAATGTTATCAACTACATTAGCAGGCCTACCTCAAAAGATTTTATTCAAGTTGAAATTGTTGTCGAAAAGAACTCACAAAAGATTATTCTCATTGGCAAGGTACTTTACATATTAAATGGTCAAAATTTTATTGTAGAAACTTTTGATTCAAGCTTTTGGGTTATTTTTTATTACAAATTATCTTGGAATATGAGCAGTAAAAAAGCTTCATGAATCTATGTAGGCATAATATAGCTATACGTACATATTATGTTTCTGTTTCGAAATATACCCTCCTTTGTTTTCTCTAAAATGGTAAAACTTCTGAAAACCCTGAAAAGGTTTGTCGGGAAGAGAGGACAGAAGGAAACAGGGGGAAAAGTTACTCTTTTACGGTTCCACTAAGAGGGGTTCTTTTTAAAGGATATTTCAGTTTGTCGACTTTTTCAGGGATTTTGTGGAAATTCCCCAGAATTTAAGAGGATTTTTCTAATTTTGAACATTCATGGGATTTGTGCAACTCACCCTGCAGTTTAGGGGATTTTGTGAAATTTACCATTTCTGAAATTACCTCCAAATTATCATAATTGCTATTTTGCTCACAAATTATAATCAACTTCAAAATTTACATCTAACTGCACTTAAAATTTTTATAGTTGATCGATAAAAAGCTTTTAAGTTTTAACCCGTGCATGACTTGAAAAAGTGGGAAAATATTTTGTGAGCAGTAGCAATGACAGAGGGGTGGAGAGGCATGAGTGTAGGGACCAAAGAGGGAGGAAGAGGGGGTTTGCGGGGTTGGGGCGGCTTGTCTCTGATTAATCAATGCACAATTCGATATTGACCGTCCTTTTTCTTCACGAAGAGGACCGATGCGGCCCCTACGGAGAATAACTCTACAAATAAAACCCTGACGCTAATAACTTGTCCAACTGCGGTCTGAACCTCCCTCATCTCAGGCTGTGCCATCACGATTAGGGTGCGCCGGGATATCGGCCTGTGCCCAGCTGCAACTCAATACACCACATTGACCTCTCACACATGTTTACATATGTAACCCCAGGTATGCCTGAAACGACATCACTGATGCTCTGAGACAACTCTATCTCTAATAAACAATACTCAGATTTCCCGTTCACTCACCTCATCGATGTACGCCAGAAATGACTCCGCAAACACGGTGCCCTGGGAGCTTGCGTATATATCTCGGACCATCGACGCTCGCAAATTTGCCGCTCTTCACAAACAGTCAATACTGGAACTATGGTAGGAAGATAGCCAATCGTACCAAGAAGGATCGTCGAAGTTCGACATCAACAAGACGATCAACTCGATGACTACTCAAACTTCATCTTAGAGTGACATCTCCTACCGATGGGAGGACACTCCCTCGTAGAGGGAGTCAGAGACTGATAACGGAAGTATCTTTAAGGAATGTGCTACAAGCTGAAACCGCATATTCAAACAAAAGGTATGAAGATAAAGATAAGCAATTTCCTAACCAAACTAGATCCGAGCCTGAAAGGAGAAATCACGAAGAAGCTCGCTCGCTACCCTGATCACGTGGTACTACTGAGTAGACTCTGCTGGATAATGCAAATCTCTGTAATGCAAATTATGGCCGTGCTTACCGCGTCGAAATCCTCAGGTTAACAAGTAGTGCCTCCTATCTTCCCATTTGCGGGCTGAAGATTACGCTCTGGACTTCAACCGCAGTCTAACAAAAAATATATTATATCATTTGATCTGTACTTCCTGCCTGGGTGCTGCTGCGACAAGTCCTTTGCCTTCTCTGTTCAAATCTTTTATAATTGTAACATGTACCCCGAACTCTGCCGCTGCTCGGCCTCGTCGAATAAAGATCGTGCTCTTTCTTATGTTGTCCTTGTTACTTGGGGTTAAAATCATATCTCCCGTGCTAGTTTCTCTAGAGTTTCACAATGGGTTCTCTTGCTATTTGTCATTTATCTATTTTAGGTTCTGATTCTTCCTTCACTACGGGTATATATCCCGCCTCCCGCGGCCTTAGACTAACTCTAAACAGGCTGTGTGTGAGCGAAGTATAGTGAAGGTGGACCCAAAGTGCGTCCGGATAAATAAGGGTGAATGTGTGGGGGGCGTTGCGGGCAAGCGGCCCCGCCGCAGGAGAATCTCTTGGGATGGTTTGGTGTGGTCATTCCGTTTAATGGGTGGGGAAGTAGCTATTATGATGATTGGTTTGTATGTCTAGCATTAGGGCGTTGTATGTGAGATAAGGTGTTGCTTCAATGAATGCGCTGAAGGAGGAGATACTTTATTCGCTCGCCGCTCCGGGTGACTAGATAGCTAGTATATATTGCGTAAAGGAGTGTGACGCTATGCTCTTAGGTTCATCCATAATTTAGAGGATGTCTTTATTATAATAGTTCACTTGTAAAAATACATTTTCATTTAATAGGGAAAATTGCTAAATATGACAATCGGTGGAGTAGTTTTTAGACTTTTGATTTTTGTTAGTCTTGGTACTCTCTGGACACCAATGAAGCATAACATTCGGTTTGCGTATCCTCGGCGGATTAAGATGAGGGTTGCGCTTACCAATTGAATGAATAAACAAAACGATGTATTATGATTTGCATAATGTTAAATTTAGTGACTATTTGTGCCTACTGGCCATAGATAGATGCGTATTCATTAGATTATATACTTTCTATGAAGTATATGGGGCATCGCGCCTATGTGACTGGTCTCTGCATGTGCGTATCCACGGTTGAGTTTTACCCGACCCCATACCTATTTTATTATGATAAAATATTAATATCATACATAAGGGGAGCTTATTATCCAGTATAAGCGGTTAATATAATACTAATATTATAATACTATTATACTAACGTATCAGCAATACAATATATCATATATAATAACAATTTAGATATCACGCAAAATTCCTTCAATCATAATAAAAAAAAAGTGTATAAAAATATTATCTCAAATATTTTATTGAGATATATGACATTATATATCGTCCTATCATCTACTCATACTAAGAGTCCTTATTAGCGTAACTCTCATATACCGAGTAAATCCTTAATGAAAAACCTATCCTAGTCTATTCCACGAGACTCGACACAGGATGATCCTTAAGGTATATCTGGAACTGAGCTCTGGTACAAACGTGCTGACGCCTCCCCCATGGGTCCACATAGGCTCTGCCTAAGATCCAAATGAGTAGTAAACTTAGAAGAATGTACAAACCTCTTGCCATCGCCACTCACACTCCATGCTACCTATACAACATGATTGATAGTTATTCCCATCACAATTCCATATCACTCTTATACGTAAGAATACTGTAGCACAATCTCTCAACAAGTGGGTATAGTGTATATGTATTTACGACAGCTAAGGCAGAAATGCACTCAAAGTGAGTATAGAATGATAATGTATTAGGATTACAAATATAATATATTTCTTATTCCAACTACAGATAAATACAAAATCAATGTCTTGAAAATGAATAAACTGGTATCTTAAACATCTCAACACAACAAGTCTGGAGTAAAGGAATAGGCCACAGGCCTTTTACACATCTTATGAATAATACTCCATCAATGTCTAATCAAAGTCTTATAAGTGGATGGCCTGCTTACTTCTATATTAAAATAATAATTATATCTAAAATAGACAGATGAAGCTATAAGTACATCGCCTAATCCAACCTGCTGAGAGCTTCTCCGGGGCTTCTGGTTCTATCACCTGAAAGGGAGGGAGGGACACGAGTGCAAACGCTTTTATAGCGAGTATAATAGTCTG